ATTAAATGAGGACAGTGAAACCAATCGATATACACCAATCCTCAACATGAGGTGTGAAAAAGATTTTCACAACGGTCTTTAATGTTTGGTTACTAATGTCAACACAGTTTGAAAAGCTACATTGCATGATTCATGAGTTGTTGTGTAGATGCACGAAGACTATTCATTCCATGGTCGTCATGGAATTGTCCTCCAGTTGTTTACCATTTACTGAATCACTTCTCATATCTTCGTATGATATCCAGTTGATCTACCCTCATCTACAACCTGTTGCGGATTATTGAACATAGGAAATTGTTTTCGCCTCAACTCGAATAGTTCTCCACTGTAAATAGTTTAGGAAGAAACGAACAAAATCGAGAAAATAGTTCGTGTGCAACGTGTTTTCGTAGGGTTTATTGGAGAACTATTCAAGTACATTCATTCAATATTCAACATAATCACGTAGCTTACCAAATGAACCCCAAACTCCAGCTTTGGCATATGAGGAAAGAAGTGAATAGTGATTATATTTATGAGGCAATTATTTAAAATGACACGATCGTTTGTGAAATAATCGAATACATCAACTGAAATACTGTTTCATTAACCGAATGTTGCAGTCGAATGTGTGTCAAACGTGTTTTGAGTTCCGAACTCTGTAAAGGAACTTTTTTGACAAGTTAATGTAAAATGTATGGGTTATGTTTTAAAAATTTTCCTTATACGAGTGAAAAACGTGCAAACCTAATCAACTATAAGACAGAATGTACAGGCACTTTTAGATGTCTTCTGTTCCAAGAAACGTATGTATATATACATATAAATGTTACTTACAAAGGGTATCGAAAAATCCGGCTTCAATAAATGAAGAAATAATGAACAGTGATTACACTTGCACGTTGTGTGTGTAAAAATATTAGATTTTCTGCAAAACAAACGAATACTATGTGTGAATTATTGTACTGATAATCCAATGATACTAACGAATAGCTACGATTTTGCGTTAGAAGAGGATTCGTTTAGGAATATGTACACAGTGAAGCATCTGCTTCAGCAAATCGATGATCTGTGTGTGGTTCATGATTGGAAATTGCTCATAACCACAGAGAACAAGAGAATATCGATCAACTGAATAACAAACTGTACTGTACATACAAACTTAATCAACTGTAAAACAGATTGCTCAGACATTTACCGATGTCTGCTGAACTAAAAACTATATGTTTATTGTTATAGGATAGCTTTGTTAATCAATCACCTTGATAACCATTATTATTAGCAATCTCAACTGTTTTTAAAATCAGAAAGCTATAGGAAACTGCGACTATTGCTTATTACAGGATCGCACCGATCATAAAACTACAGACACATTGAGAGGGTTTGGATCAGATAGAAGAATATGTGTGTGCGAGCGAATACAAATGCAAATTTATAGTCAAATGGAATCAAGGCACAGCAAGGCAAAGAAAAGACTAATAATAGGATTTCAGTGCGTTTATACATGAAGAAGAGAATGATTAATCTAGAGAAATTTAAAAGATTACCATTTTCGCTAAAGAGAGACATGTGCGTAGGCTGTCATATGTGATCAATTTTACTCGTTTATACAGACATGATGGTGATCTAATAACATTGCCTGTTGAGTAAGTTAATAAAAGGGCTTAACAAAATTATTGTCAAAATAACCGTCCCACCTGAAAACCAAGATGTATGAAAAAATGATTTTCACATAAAGATTGGTAAACTGAATGTAATAGTTACGATCGTTTGAAGATATCGTCTTTTGCAAAATTAAGACAAATCTAATATGTATGCTAACATTTGTTTCATATATATGGTTTAGCTTTTAATAGATCATACGTATAGACGTAAAGATACACAAAATATGTTGAGTTTTGTAATACATAACATAAGCGTAATGATTCGTGCGTGCTTTACGAAAATTGAGAAAAATGAACTATGTTCAAAATAGTGAGAAATTGTTAATTTAAAATTGTGGCTATAAACCGCTGAAACCATTTAACTCTTCGACCATATCTCGTCGTTATTGGAGCCTCTTCCCTCTGTTTCATTTGATTCATTGATGTTTGAGATTCGTGTTTCGGTAATGTGACCGTCTTTGAAGGATCTGCGCTGTGTGATTGATGATTCCTTTAAATAAAAGCCGGTTTGACTTGATCGATGCTGATTTCATCTATGTTTCCAGATTTTTTTAACGGTAACTGTTTTATCTGTCCTCGTAATCACTTTCAACGGACCGTCGTAATTCGGCTGTAAAGGTGGTTGTACATTATCTCTTCTAATGAATACGTTGTTGGAGTCTGGGAAGCGTTATTTTTAAATCGTTCATATGCTTTGTTAGGCTGTGCACGTAGTTGGATACATCAGTGGGAACACTTTTAATTGGCGTAAAAAATTCTCCGAGACTAATTCCTCGTGAGGACAATTAACATCTGATGAGACATTATCAGGACTGTAATCACATTTTAACTCATCTAGAACTTGTTCCTCACATCTAATCAAGATTTCACTTTAAATAAATATATCATTAGGACAAACAACATCTGATAAAATAAAATCAGAGTTCTGAACAGCATTTAGTGCACTCTATCTATATTCCACACAATAGTGAATAATTTCATTAGAAACACATGAATCATGAGATTAACGTATACCTGGTAAAATAATATCATGAATCTGACCAGAGTTTATTCATTTGAAACATTCAACTTAATAGGATCGGAATTACAAAGTTTAGCATTACTTGCAGCGAGATTAACAATAGTATTACAAACTAATTGAATGTGTCCAATCGTACCACATTTGAAGTATTAAGCATTACGAAGCACATAAATAACATGAATAACAAATATTTACCATACTTGTGTTCATCTTCGAGACCTTAATAAATTGTTATCTGCATAATCTTCAATATGCAATGGATTAGGATGACATAGTAATGTAGTGAAATTCTTGATGTCCTGACGAATTGCTTCGTGAAGCTTTCCTTCTTTACTTCATTCGAATTCTGTACACTTTACGTGGTCTAGTAGTAGTTTCTTGAGAGTTGCATAACGAAGTAAATAGGCTTTTCTGGAAATGCTAAAGTTTTTTAATAAACTGTAGACTTCTTTACCGATGAATGTAAGGAAATGGAGCAGTCAGTATATCAAGAGGAGGCTGTATTAAAAAGTCAGAGGTTACATTTTCAGTTTTCCAGTCGTTCTTTAGATTCAGTTTCATCTTGTCAACTACCAAGTGGTGATCTGTCAACTTCTATCTTTTCTTCACATGTCTTTCATTGATATTTTGAATTTTTAGTTATGCAAATATAATTTATCTACTTCTCTGTCATATGCCACATTTTTGTTGATAGATTCGATTATTTCGCAAACGATCGTGTCATTTTAAATAATTGCCTCATAAATATAATCACTATTCACTTCTTTCCTCATATGCCAAAGCTAGAGTTTGGGGTTCATTTGGTAAGCTACGTGATTATGTTGAATATTGAATGAATGTACTTGAATAGTTCTCCAATAAACCCTACGAAAACACGTTGCACACGAACTATTTTCTCGATTTTGTTCGTTTCTTCCTAAACCATTTACAGTGGAGAACTATTCGAGTTGAGGCGAAAACAATTTCCTATGTTCAATAATCCGCAACAGGTTGTAGATGAGGGTAGATCAACTGGATATCATACGAAGATATGAGAAGTGATTCAGTAAATGGTAAACAACTGGAGGACAATTCCATGATGTTCATTATGAAATGGTATGAATTTCGAATGTGGAATGAAGACTTTTCGTAAATTCACACAACTTTTAAGTAAATCACTGTACATTCCTGTCACTAAATTAGCGTTAACTAGCAAGAATCTCCGTTTACGCAGTTACATATCCATTAACGTTTAATAAATTTAGTCGTCCTAAAAGACCTCATGCATACTAACATAGAGATCCATAATCGCTTTAGTACAGATTCAATTAATATAATAGTGGATAACGCACGTCATTGTTTAATTACTAGACTCTATTGTTGATCTTAATAAGTATTTGTGTATTTGTGTAATTACATCATGTTATCCAGTTTGGTATTATTCACTATCTTATGTCAACCTTGTTGATCAACTATATTGAAGCAATTATGAATATTCTTCACATACCTATTGTCATCATCTTTAGTGCTACTCTCTTTGCAATCATGTTTAAGAATGTCTATTGAAACACTTATAATCGGATTGTAAGTTTCCTGCCTAATCAGTTCAGTATTCAGTCGAGCTCATCGAATTGAAGGATATCAGGGAACCAATGTACCAGCCAAAACATTTCAAGCAAAATTAAACGATGTCCAATGCAGATCAAGGAAGCAAAACAAATACAGCACTATCATTTAAGAAAAAATACGGATTGTGTATACGAAGCCCAAGACTACAAGTGTCTAATGCATTCACCGTATCAGCTTACAATCGTACGTAAAGTGATGGACGCAACAGTTACAAAAAATCACCTAAGAATGCACACCACAAGGCGATAGCTTTGTAAATGTCACAATTTAATCGAGTAGT